TTGTTGGGATCAGCAGCTTTGTGCATCAGGGATGTTGTTGCTTGGATTGTGGATAATTACTATTAATTAGTGGCTGATACTTTTGGCTTTGATGCCGCAACGAGCAAAATGGAGCGATGGCTGGGAATGAACTCGGCTAAAAGGAATTATGCGGATAGTGGCTGAACCAATGGAAGGGATAAGGGTTTTTTTTCCTGAAAACAACGGCTTTGTGTTGCCTTGTTTATGTTTGTTGTTGCTGCTGTCATCAATGGAAAGGCTCCAATATGTCGTCGGCACCCCCAGTGTCAATCAGAATCCCATTACTGCAGAGGTCATGGACAAGCTGCTGCAGGTAAGTTAAGTCTCAGCGGGCTGCTCTGCTGCACCGGAATAAAGGGGAAAAATACATTTGTGCCCAACAGTATCTTCTATTTCCAACATTTCAAGGAAAACTTTAAACCCTGCTCAGATAGAATATGCTCGCTCCTTTCTCTTGGACAAAATGGAATCAAAACTTCAAAGTTTTTTTCCATCCTGTTTTTTTTTTTTTCTTCTTCTTTTTTGCCAGTCCAGCAATTTGAGCTCACAGCCTCATGGGTTATTTCGTGAATACATATCAGGACCTTTAGCTCACAGGTGGCTGGCACACTCAATAATGCCTTGAGCAATATCACTTTGAGAGCACCACACAAAAACAAAGATGCCTTAGGTCCATGAATATTTATTAATGGGGGAGACTGGAGCTAAGTAAAAAAATGACAGACTAATAGGTGGAGGGAGGAGAGAGAAATGAGGAGAATGATAAGGTAGGAGAAAACATGCCACAGAGCTTTCAAAGTAAAGCGGGGCCAACAGGAAACGAAGACACAACATCGAACTCGTGGGAAACCCTGGAGGAGATTTGCTATTAAATTGCTGTTAAATACAATTTTACTTGGCTCTTTCTCTGAAGATGTTGTTGCTGGTGCAGCAGTGAGGGAGAGTCCCCTGGTGTTCACATTCAGGAGCCGATGTTGATTGGAAGCAAAACAGCACTGGCGGGTATGAGGCCCTGCGGGCCTCACTGGCGGCCTCCGTCATTATGCCGACGGCACTATCACTTCTGGACGCTGATTAAAATGTTGCAGATGTTAAAAGAAGCTGAAGGTTAAACCGCAAAGGGCTCTGTGTGAAGTCATTTCACACCACATTGCCTATCCACTCCACATACACGCACTGTAAAAATCAGATTTTTATAACAGAGTGGGGAGCAGCTGCGCTGAGCGGCACTCCGTGGGACCCGATTCTGATCTTGTCTTGATTTTTAGCTGCGCGTGCACGTCAACTCAACTCGAGGCACTTTTTCTCAATCAATTTTGCTGCGTCTCAGTGTCGACCGGGTAACGCTGTGATACGTTTAAGCCAGTGTAACAAAAGAATTTCCCAGTCAAGCTCAAAGCTCAAAGTGGACTCTTAGACGGGCCTCACATGGTGACTGTGAAATGTTTCTGCTCTTATTTCTTTTTTAACGCTTTTTTAATCTGTAACACAGAACCGAGACAACAGAAAGCTTTCTGACAGATGCATTACATGAGTAAAAATTCAGGAAAGTATCACAAAAACTAAGAAAAGCGTGCCAACACCAAGCCATTGTTTCCCAGTCCACAAAGCAATAGACCCCCACTGTTCCTCATGCAGCTTATGCCCCACTGGGGCTCTAAATGCATTGAGGAGTTTGGTATCACTGCTCGTGGTGAGTTAGCTGGATATCTTATTTACTTTTTCCTGACTCGATAGTCCTTTCACCTCCATCATTGTGTGGTCATGATTTTGGAGACGTGACGAGGAGCTTAGTTTTTCCAGAAAAGGTCAGAATGAAGCCACCACTCCTCTGGATTGAAAGTAAAGTCGAGAAGGTTTATATTAGGCACACCAGTAGGAGTGACTCCTGGGTTAATAGCATTAATAGTATTGTGCACCCATTTATCAGGCGGAAATAAATAGACTCATTTCACGTGGTTGTAATGCATGTCAGATCTGAATGCTTCCAGTTAATCATATCCATTTTGGATGAGCTTTCACGTTTGTAGTTTAAAAAAAAGTATAGGGAGATCCATGAAATAAGCTTTTGTTGTCTTAGAAACACTAAAGTTGTAGGTGTCAGCCTAATTATTATGCGCAGCCTTTTGCTACAGTGTAACCTGAAAATGAGACAACCAGCATAAGGTAGCAGCGGCTTATTAAAAATATACCTGACATCACGAGAAATAAAAGCCGTAGCATTACTTAGCGAGAAAGCTTTTTCACACCTTTTAGTTTCTGTGCCACTTGCTCAAAACAACAGATGTCCCACATCAGAACTTTTGTGTGATTTAAAATGATACGATATGCATGGAATATTTGAAATGAATGTGACTACGCTAGTGTTGCTAAATTACAAAAGCACACAGTGTGCTCCTCGTGTTCTTGGAATGGTGTTAAAAAGTGAAGCGAGCTAGCCATAAAAACCCCCCAAAAAAACAAAATAGCCAAATAACAATGCTGGCTTATTATTTACAGACTTCATGGTAATTAGCTGTAAATGATATAATTTGCAGCTGGTGACATTTATAAGTGAAACGCGGGGTTCTTGACAGTTTGTCTTAAATACCTTCATTAGCTCTGCAGCATTTCATTTAGGGGTGTGAACAGCAGGTTCGTGCATTTCCAGGGTCAGAGACAGTGCGTGATTTAAAACTTTTAGGAGTTATTGTGTTTATTTATGAGTCATGATGTGGCAAAGCAGGATGGGCAGGGTGAGAGAGGCCAGCTGGTACTGACGTTTCTCACTAACAGATAAAAGGCCAGTTTATTTCCCCTTAAATTTTGCCACATTTGTAAGGAAAATGTTTTAGTATGTTGAGCAGCAGAGTTGAGTCGATGAGTGGTACCCATTAAAAAACATGCTAGATCTTCTCTGCCAATGCCAAACAGCTTATTGTGTGACCAACACAACCACATCACTTGCAACAAATGCTGGTTGAAGAATGTAATGCCACCCCACACCAATGTGTGATCAGCATGCAGAGGAGGCGCCAGGCTGTTGTGGGCATTTAGTGGTTCTTCCACATGCTACTGAGGCCCCTCTTTATTAAATGAGTAAGCTGTTAAACTGCCACTCTGTTTCATCAGCTTTCAATCATCCAGACATCCAATAAATGACACCAAACAAGCATCTACATCAGAATAAGTTGTTTGGCATTGACAGAGAAGATTTAGCAAGTTTTTCATGGGTACAACTCATCGACTCAACTCTGTTGCTCAACCCACAAATGCATTTTCCTTACAAATGTGATAACATGTAAAGTGCAATTGTGTCGGGCGGGGCCTGCGGTACCGTGCAGGGAAGGCGGACGCACCTGTACGGCATCTGCAATCACGCCCCGTCGACTTAAATATTGTACTGTCTCCTGTGGTTGGGGTTGTTGTGGTAATGTTGAGCAGCGGGAGAGCTGCAGCACTGTGTGCATTGTGAACAGCAACCGTGTGTGCTAATAAAGAATGCTGCAAAGCATGTTGATGTCACCGGGTCTGCTGTGGTCATTCACAGCAATAAATAGGCTTTCCAACAGTAAAAGATTGATTACCAAGAAGCGTTCTTACAACAAAGGAATAATCGACCAAACACAAATTTTCTTTCTTTTTGTGTACATTTCTTTTGATTTGAGAAGAAAGAAAAGACATTTGTAACGGACTCCCAGTATGCTGAATGAAACTGCACTTTAAAATGATTGAGACAGGCTTGAACAGTGGCATTTTACCTGACTCTCAGCATTTTTCCTCCTCTCTCAAACTAAACAAATACAGCACCATTAATCTATGGTGAGTCATGCCTGTTTCAGCCAGTGCAGGCAGTGGCTCGGGATCATGGCAGGTACTCTTTAAAAACAACACGGTTATGCTTGACGGTGATGATTTTGGGGAGTGTGTCGTGCCACCTTTTTCAGCATTAGCTGTCAAAATAAAAGTAGTGATTTTATAAAGAAAATGGACAAAATAACAAAACCACCGACATAACACTGGCGGAACCTGAAAGTAGAAATGTAGACAGCCATTGAGTATAAAAGATTTTTTTTAATCCTTTAATCCACTTGTGGGCAGGGAATATTCTCCTACTCCTACTTCATGTTTAAATCAGACTATGTTAGAATGCATTGTCACCAAATTTTCACAGCTCATCTCTGAGAAATGTGGAAACATTCAGTCATGTTGTTGTCTGCAGCAAAGGTCTAAAAATTCAAAGTGCTTGACTGAAGCTCATAAATTAAATTAACAGATACACCCCCCCCCACCCCCACCCCCAATACTCATCTAGCCACAGCAGAAAATGAATCTGCTGAGTTTATTGTTAAATGGATGTTCTAGTGAGCAGGATGTGAGTGAGGATTTAGTGCACCTTGAGGGAGTCCCTCTTTCCAAACTGAAAATGTGCTTCTGAGATCTCATCTCATATTAATTTGTCATGGAGAAGGTAGTCATGCTGTTGCTCCACGCCGCCCTCTGGCTGACTCCGAGGTATTCGTCATCTTTCGGAGCTGCGAGCCTTTCGACGTCTTCAATCTCCAAGTGCTTGTTTCGCAATTTAACTTAGCTTGTTTTCCTCGGCCCTCCCTGCACCTCTTTGTCCCCCTCTCCCTCCCAATCTTCTCGTGTCCATCAGCTGTGACCTTACAACAATTACGCATCCTCCAGTGGGACAATTAAAACCGAGCTACCTTCCCGAGTGGAGAGGGGGAGAAAAAAAGCGGAGGAAATAATGATGCCGGATTCATTCGTGCAGTCGCCTGCCTTCTTTGAACTAGCAGTTCTTGAAGTTGAGAAGGCGACTGTTTTAGCAGCTCTGCCTGTGTTCCAGTGCCACTGCTATTCAAGGACACACTGCCCTTCAGCAGCATTGTCCAACAAAATAAAAGCCGTCTGTTCTCTATTCAGCACCGGAAAATTCACTCATGTTGACGTGCCTGTCCTCTTTCAACCCTGCCCCTCCTCTGCTTTGACAGGTGCAAGTGCAATCTTCACGCCAACAGCTGCGTGTATGACAAAGAGAAGTTGAGCTGTGAGTGTGAACACAACACCACTGGGCCCGACTGCGGCCGCTGTAAGAGGAACTACCAGGGGCGAGCGTGGAGTGCTGGCTCATACCTGCCCATACCCAAGGGCACCGCAAATATCTGTGAGTACACGCACACTCGAACACAAGCACACCTCTGACGTGTTGGCTAATTAAAAAGATGGATGACATGGCAGTGTAGGACTTTCAGGAGGTCTTATAGATCTCAACAAAATAATGGAAAATTTGTTGAATTTGTTTTTTAAAAAAATGCATCTACAGAGACAAGTGATAAAAGTCCAGTCCTAATTATCAGTATCCTGTGTGTCCTTTTAGAGAGTTCAGACGGTCGTTGCATTCAGAGATGCTGAGCTGTGGCGTTTCAAAGCAAAGTGAAGCAATTAACAGCATGCAAAAAAGATGTGTGTATGATTAGTGATGTTATGTTGAAGCAAATGTTTCCAGACCAGAGTGCAGTCTAGTTAAAAGACCACAGTGTAAATAGGATGTTGTTCTCTCTTCTACAGCTCTGTATTCTAGAAAATGTCCTTTTCTCGACCGCTCTAATTAGAGTGAAGTGAAAGAACCTGCACTACGTCCTCTGGAAGCTCGTTATACGCTGATGCAGCCTGTGCAAAAAAAGAATCATTTTTCTCCCTTTTTTTAGAGAAACGTGGGTAGCACTTTAGCAAACTAGTGTAAGTCCCCTGTAATTAACACTTGAAATTACAATGTAATTTTAGTTACCTACAGATATTTAAAGCTAGGTACATTAGAACAAGGGAATAATAAGTCAGGTTTTTACCGGAAACAAAGAAATAATTATACTGTAGGTAAATATAAGTAGAAAGGAGACACAAATAATACTGTTTAACTACTGCTTAAGTAAATTGAAGTACTGTGTAGTTTCTTGGTAATTTTGCAGAGAAACAAACAGTATTTCTCCAGCTTATATTGCAAGCACACTCAACACTTAACAAGTACGTTTTTTGGATATGTATACATCTTTATATAATATTCATTATGCATGATGATGCTCTATTATTTAACTTGTATTTTACCACATAAATGTGATAAGGGCCGTTTCCCCTTACTAACTTACAAGAGAAAGAAAGCAACAACAAACAGACTCTGCAGGACTGTGTGATCTTTAAATGATGGAGTCAACTTTGTTGTCTTTTATCATCACTGTCCAAGCATAACTTTGAAAAGCAGTGTTGAGGGAAGTATTGTCTGCTTTCCTGTAAAATACCTGGAAGTTTAAGCAAAGTTAAGTCACTCCAAACAAATTATGCAGCACTTAAAATTACTTATTGAGTAATTTGTGTCTCCTTTTTTGTAAAAACAAAACAAAAAAAAACAAAAAAACAACCCCCCCAAAAAAACTTGAAGTTCCAGTACTTAAAACTACTCATTCACTACCTAAAATTACTAATAAAATATTAACAGTGCAATTATTTCTTATTATCTCCTTATTCTAGTGTGCCTACCTTTAACTAGCCACGCGTAAATTAATTACAATGTAATTTCCAATAAAATACATTGAAATTTCATGTAATTACAGCACTCTTAGTCGTGGGCCATATTATTAAGTACTACTGGACAAGGTTAGTGGAATTTATTTAAAGGATGTTAAATCTTCTATGTTGTTCCAAAAGAGGATCACAGGTTTAACCGTGGTATCATCTGGTATCTGTGAACCTTTCTTAACCTGTCCACAGGTGACAGCCCTTTGACACTTGGATTAGTTTAGTAGCTCTTGTGCAAACTCGTTTTCTATCACTTTTTTTGCTTTAATTTAAGAACGAAACTAAACTAGCAACCAGCCCAGGGCGGTAAGTAAAAAACCTGTCACTTTCAGAGACACTTAAATCACTTAAATCATCTTCAATATTCCCAACGCTCAGTTTGATATTTGACCATGCTTGCACTCAATCGCTACCATGTGATTGGCTAATTAGAGATTTACTGTCAGGTAAACAGGTGTACCTAAGAAACTAAATGCACCTGCTCACTGATGAAATTCTACGTGGCGCATTGTCAACAATAAAGGTACTGATGGGGTTTTGCATCGCCTCTGTAGATGTCAGACTTACGGGCCTGTAGTTTTCCTGTTAACAGTGTGTGCCCTTTTTCATACTTCTTTCCATCCTTCAGGCAAAATAGATTTTCTTGATTATATAAATCTGTGGGAGTTTCAGCAACCACATGATTATTTTGCTTAAAATTCTAAACTGCATTACAACTTTATTAGTTATAAACTTTTATTTCTACTAAACAGGAATTTCGAGAAGTTGCAGTAGAACAGGCTGCTTACAAAGTTATGTAACATTAGGCTAAATACAAACCAACACATACGTGTGCTCCTTTACTTTTTCATGCTTTTGAAAAATTACGTCTTGGCTGCGTCGTGTTGTTCAGTCCTGCTCAAAAGATGCAAGGAGTTCATAGTGGTCAGTAGGACCGCATTAGTTTGGCCCTTTAACCAGGACTGTAGGGCCCAGTTGGACCTGACAGCACAGCTCCTGGGATCACTCAGGCATACAGACCTCTTCACCATTGTAAGGTAGGAATTTTTGGAGATTGGATGAGGAGCTTAGTCATTCATGAGGAGCTCAGAGTAAAGCCGCTGCTGCTCTGCATTAAAAGTAGCCAATGGGGTAGCCACTGGCTACTTTTAATGCGTTTCGCTAGGGATGCCTCCTGGGCGTCTCAAAGGTGAGATGTTTTGAGCAGACTGAGGATACGCTGGAGAGACTGTGACTCTCAAACGGGTTGGGAAAACCTCGCTATCCACCGGAAGCGCTGGAGGCGTTGGTCAGGGGGACAAAGGTTGGGGCGGCTCTCTGCGATTTTGAAATGCGCATTTAGCAGAAGGCTTCTCTACTTTTGATCCCGAGGTGTTTTCGGAAACACAAAGGAATGTCACAATTAAAAAGTAGAATGCTAACAAATGTCGCCAATGGGGAAATTGTGCATCCAGATTGCATAATCTCATATTGTTATATTTTGAAGTGGGCTCGAGCTTTCCACTAATAAACAACACGGATTACAGTTAATAAATAATGTTGTTAAGCTGCAGCTGCGATGCTAATGTAGAACAGAGGCAATTACTCCTGCTCGAGCTGAAGTAAGTGGGCCAACCTCCTTTTGTCTAATGCGTTGGCATGACGTCACATCACATCTTCTTCTCACAGAGCCTGAAGAACATTTGCTGGTGTGGACCCATGTTTTATATCTGACTTAATGCAAGGACAACAAGGAATTCTTTGTTTTACACTTTTTAATACTTTTTGTTTTGCTTTTCAAATGCAGTTTTGTGGATGAACCAAGCAGAGAGAGTTCAACTAGTGAACTGACATCAAACCTCGGCAGTTGGTAACAAACCACAGTGCAGACAAGGGAACAAAATAACAACGAGGAGTGAAAATTAGTCCTGGGTTCACCAGGTGGCCAGAGTCATGACTTCATTTGAAAGCTCTCCGTGCTGTGTAAGGTGATGAAATGAAAATGCTTTGTTCTCAGCTTGCTCCCACTGCCCCCCAGCAGCCAAATGATCATCATCACCTTCATCACATTAATCATAATTAATTGATTTTAAAAATGTGAGTTTAAGAAAGTTTGTTGAATCTCACTTGCAGCCCTGAGCAAACCTCAGGGAAAGAAGTATACAACTGCATGAAGGCAACTGTTTGTAATATTGGAATTTACAGTAAAACTTCCCTTGCCAAGAAGGAGAAATACAGCAGTCTATGAGCTTGAGAAATATGGAATATATTATCATTTCATGGCCTCTTTCCCCCCAGACTCTTACTGCTCGCTGTTTATTTTGTTCCTGAACTGAAAGGCAGGAATGTGTGTTCTTCCTGGGGTACACACACAATATGGGAAGTACTCTGTTCATACAGCAGTTTAGTGTCATTGAAATGAGGGGCTGGGAGATGATCCGGGTCCTGCGTCTCACCTTTAGACTTTCTGCTGTTAGCAGACTTCAGTGTGTAAATAGGCGATGGATCTGTGAGTGTATTTAACATAACAATTAGCACAAAAACAGTGAGTATCAACTGCCCCTCATGAACACAGGCTCCAGAGCAGCCACTACTCCTCCCTTACATCATTTCCAGAAAGAGTGATGAGCAGCAGGGCTATAACTTTGAGTGCCGTGGCATTAATATGAAAGCCCAACTTTTATTCCACCCTGTCTCCTTATTGCATCCGCTGTGATTTCTGCCTTTCTCTGCGGCGCTCGAGGGCTCCCGGCCGCCGGCCACTGATGACTTATTCTACCTCCCAGAGGATCCACGTTATGAGACTTAGGGAGGGTTAGTGAAATGCCCATTCCCAGAGCCCAGATTGACAGCACATTATTAAAAAAAGGTGACACTCACACACACACAGGTGATCATCCAGGCCTGCATGCACACAAACATACACACATTCATAACTACACAAGGACACACTCACGCACACATGCTCCCTTTGCCCTGCAAGTGATGAAAAACAGTCCGAGTATAAAGTGCGTTATTATACTTTGTCTTGGAGGAAGAAAAATCCATAATGTAATAACGCTGTGAAAAATCTATAGGAATGCAAGGTTATCCCTCCTGAATAGAAAAGAAAATGCTCAAGGCTGACAGAAAAATGCACCTTGTGCTGTTTTGTAATTTTCAAGCCCATTCAACACCAATTCCAAAAGTCTCCTTCCCTCTCAATGTTTTCCCCCAAACCCAGCGAGCATATGGCAGCTCTGCAGAGACAAATTTGTCAAAGATGAAAATTTAATTAAGATTTAATTTCTTTTTACTATGCCCATCAAGTAGTCTGATGTGATAAGGAGCTCGATGAATCATCATTCAGAGAGGGTGTGGAGTCTGGGTGCGGGGAGGGGTGCAGTGTGTGTGTGGGTGGTGGGGTTGGGGGGTCGTTGATATGTCGTCTTACAATGGCTCTGTGTTGAGAGCGCAGAAGAAGAGCGGGATTTAGAAAGTGATGAAAAAAGGAATGGCAAGGATAGAAGGAGGGGAAGTGGGCATCGCTCTCTGTCACAGCTAACTCAGCCTTCTGGGGTGGCTCTGTCTTTCTCGCTCTTTTCATCTGCGTCTCTCACCCCCTCAGCCCCTCAC